TAAGCGGAAAAATTGCTTTGGACGTTTAGGTCAGCCCACCCTCTGCCCGCTCAGTGTCCTCAGCACTGCCCTTGTTTGGCTTCTCTCAAAAGTACTCTTTAACGAGAAAGGCATGCGATGTTTCGGGACCAAAAGTCGAAAATTTGAAGTCACCCTTCTGCTCTCGTTCCCGTCAACTCAAAAAGTTTCCGGATTCTCTCCATTTTTGTCTATTTCAAAGTAATTGAAGTTTTTTTTTGTGTTGAGCGACATGGCCTAGAAAAGGATAAACCTTCAGTTAACAATTTATTACGCTTTAAGTCCTTTTGTAAGAAAAAACCAAATTCGCTTTAAGTTTCCCTTTCCAGATCGGAACATACGTGGAAAAGTTCTTTGCTTCCGAACTATCGGGTAATGTTATTGATCTCTGTCCGGTTGGTGCTCTTTTGAACAAACCTTACAGGTGTGTCCGTCGTTTGGTCTCTCTTATATTTTACCCGCTTTAATTTCACCATATTTCTCCATTTAGCTTTACTGCTCGACCTTGGGAAACACGAAAAACTGAAAGTGTTGACGTAATGGATGCGATTGGCTCAAATATAGTGGTTTCCCACAGAACAGGCGAACTGCTTCGCATCATACCGAAAATGAACGACGTTTGTTTCAATCTTGCTCTCATGCATATCATAGTTTTTCCCTTAGTTTTCACTATTCGCATTTAGGAGGTAAATGAGGAATGGATTAGTGACAAGGCTCGCTTTTCTTACGATGGGATGAAAACTCAGCGCCTCCTCTGCCCAATGATCAAAGATCAGGAAGGTGTTTTGAGGTGATCAACTGTCTATTCATTCGTATCTCGATCGTCTTTTAAAGTGTGCTGCAAATTGTTTGAGGCAAGCTTCATGGGAAGAAACGCTATTCACTGTTGCGCAGAAGTTCCGTGAAACACCAGCTGAACAGAAGGCTGCTATTGTTGGAGGTTTGAATGATGTTGGTAAGTGTATCACTGTGTTTTTTTTTCTGTTTAGAAATCTCGCGGCTGCTTTTTTATAAAATCTAGCAAAGTGTTGGTAATGTCTAAATCCTAAGATTTTTCTTTTTAAAATTTGCTGCTAATTATAGAAGCTATGGTGGCATTAAAGGATTTATTCAATCGATTTAATTCGGAAAATGTCTGCACTGAGGATGAGTTCCCTGCTACTTCTGACTTGAGGTCCGCAAGTTTTGTGAATAATCTTAAAATGAGCTTTCTATCGCTTATTCAAATAGATCTAACTACATTATGAACGATTCAATCATGGGAATAGAGAGTTGCGATGCACTATTGCTTGTGGGTACGAATCCTCGCTACGAAGCCGCTGTACTCAACGCCAGGATTAGAAAAGCGTGAGCAAATTGTGCGATAGGGTTAGTATCTGCTGCAATCTAAAAATGTGAACTTTTGAGTTATTTGTACACGGATATCGAAATTGGAGTCATTGGTGGGCATTCGGATCTTACATACGACTACGAACATCTTGGAGATAACGCCAAAGCACTTGATGATGTGATGGCCGGCAAATCGACATTCGCGAAGGTATGGTGTGCCTTCAGTTCTACATTAGAAGCAATCATAATTTTTAGCACAATTCTTAAAGAAAATCTCGCTCAAGTAATGAGTCTTCATCTGAGAAATCCATTTTCAGCACTTCTTGGCTGCTAAGAACCCCATGATTATTGTTGGTTCGGCTGCTCTGCATGGCGAAAAGGGAGCTGCGGTTTTGGCTAAAGTCCAACAGCTGGTGAGTTTTATATTGTGCTTTCAGCACTGCTAATCTAATTAACTCTTTTAGGCAGATAAGGTGCGATCGGGTAGCTCTTGTGACAAATCTAGAAAGGTAGTGAACATTCTGCAACAATGGGCTGGACAAGTTGGAGCTTTAGATATAGGATATCAGGTGGAGATATTATAACATCTTTTTTTTATGCCGTTGGAAGCACTACTGAGACTATGGTGTTTTTTTAAAAATTAAGGCTGGTACAGCTGCAATTCGCAAAAAACCAATCAAATTCCTCTATTTACTGGGAGCTGACGAGGGCAAAGTTACGAAGCAAAACTTGGATCCATCCGCTTTTGTTGTTTATCAGGGTGACCACTTTCCTCGTGTAGCGCAAATGTGTAGCTCTGAGAAATGGTGATGTTTAGGACATCACGGAGATGCAGGAGCAGAAATGGCTGATGTGATTTTACCAGGAGCTGCTTACACCGAAAAAGAGGGAACGTTTGTGAATACCGAAGGACGAGTGCAGAGGTTAACGAGAAGAGTGGTATCAAAAGTTTTGTCATAGGATTGAACAATGTTCAGAACGCTGCCGGCCGTTCCACCGCCAGGTGATGCTCGTGTTGATTGGAAGATCATCAGAGCGATTTCAGAAGTTGCTGGAAAACCTTTGCCATATGATGATTTAAAGCAACTGCGACGTAGGATGGCAGAAGTTCGTCTTTTTTTT